ACAATCGGATGATAGCCAAGTTGGCACGGGCTCAGGGGCTCGCTCCAGAACATCAGGACGGCCCATGTTACCTTTTCTTTCTTCCAGTTCTACCCAACCATGAGGTTCCCTTCTCGACTCGATGCCGAATACACCCTAAAAATGTGAGTGAGCTCAGTTTCCCACAGAACGCAGAGAGAGCCAATCACGACGAAATAAAGATCCCACCAAATGACGAAGTTCAAATTACAAACGGTTCTAAAGAAAAAGAAAAAAGCCATCCGCTTAGGGACAATGATTATGCCGTTTCCCTCGCCAAGATAACTTTAGCGAGAGCCAACGCGATGAAACATATCGAACTCTACGTTTTCAATCCTGTTTCACCGTATCCGGAGCGCAAGTTCTTCTGCTCCTTGCACAGGGGTTGCATGACGTCAGGACGCCGAGATCTGATTGGCTCTGATGGAGGGACAGTGGGTAGACCTCAATGCTAGCTGTCTTGAGGTCTGCAAAAATGTTCCAAAAGCCGGGTGAATTCATGATTGAAAAGGTTTACTCCGACTTAACATAACAAATTAATAACAAAAGGTACAGACGTTTCGCCACCTATGCAGGTGGCATCTTCAGTATACACTGAAGATACACAGTATACACAGTGTATACTGAAGATGCCACCTGCATAGGTGGCGAAACGTCTGTACCTTTTGTTATTAATTTGTTATGTTAAGTCAGAGTAAGCCTTTTCAGTCTTGAGGTCTACCCACTATCCTTCCAATCAGAGCCAATCATGGGTCGGCGTTTCGACGCCACCGCCACCCCTGCTGAAAAAGCAGACCAACTTGCACTCCGCATTCCGCGATGCTGCGATCGGCCGGCTGACCATCGCAGTTCAGCCTGTTCCCACAGCTGCATCCTTAGTAGTACAGAGAGCGCCAATAGCAACATCTATACAGTCTCTAGCTGCCAATTAAGTGGGGAAAAATCGTTTTGTGAACCCTTTGATTGCCCGTCTCCTCTCGCAAAGCGGATTTTCGTACTTTTTCATATTTTGTCAGCAAGTTGCCTTAGCTTTATTATTTCGCGAATAACAGTGGAAAGAATACAGAAACGAAAAAAAGGTCATTTTCTTCAGGTTCCACCAGAGCACTGCCGTCAAACACATTAGAGACGTTGGGCAGGCTTCTATCATTAAAATGTCGTGAAACACTTCATTCGTCGCTCAAGGGGTCGATGCTAAGCCGGCAACAAAATATGACTGTAATAAGTTACAGCAAATAAGTTACTTTTCGTAAAAAGGCCTCAATATATTAGGACGAGAAATTTAGAAAAAAAAAAAGATAGATGTATATAATTATTGCGGTGCGGTAATTCATACAAAAGGTCACTGGAGGTGAAGGTCGGGGCTGCAAGAGCTCACTGAGTGACGCGTAAGAAACGAAATCAATTTAGTTGCAGAAGGCATGTCGATCTAGCAGAAGCAGTAAATCACACTTCGCCGCCAGACATAGAAGACATAACACATAGACAAGAGTTTAGAGACAAGGCAGTGCAAAGAAAACGAGTTTGACAATCGGCACGAAGAATTCTTTTGTGGTTAAATGTAGGAGATTGCGACCCGTAGGATAGGGGAACAATATGTTTTCTCGATAAGGTTGCTGCAGTTTTCTTAACAACCCCTTGGGAGTTGAAGAATGGGCTACCCGTTCGGAGGTAATACGCTATTCACCGCTCAAAGAACGAATAGGGTAAAAACGTTTGGGGAAAAGAAAAGGCAAACAAGGACAAAAAAAAATCATGTTTACAACATTTCAACGAAGGTCGCTCAACACGATTCTAAGTTATGACCAACCGTTCTTAAACGCATGTACATAAATGTCAGGCAAAAAAAACAAAAACAGTCTGGGTCAATTGAAAATTGAAATAACATATTCTTCGTGTAAAACTATTAGCTTGAAGTTGCAACTAGCTATCGATTACATCTATTATATCGAGTAATATACTAGGTCAGCAATTTAATTTAAAGATGTCCGGAATGAGAATAACCAGGAGCTAAATCCAGCAATGGATGCCTGAATAGGGTATTTATTCGTCGGCTATCATTTCATTCCGAGCGGAAAGAAGGCTACATTTTCTTATCAACGTAATTATTGATTTTTTTTTCGAAAATTGTAAGATCCAACTCCGTTCAGAGAGCGTATATCCCTGGCGATCCGCTGAATAGAATATTAGGCCTGGTCAAAAAATACATCGCCCTCCTAAATCAAATATTCCCGACCGCAAAATCGCAACCCCGTCGTTAAGGAAACATCGTTTGCAGACATTAATGTCAAGAAACATGGAGTGCTACCATATTGATATGCGCAGTAATGACAAAGCGAATGAATGCAATGTAATGACAGAGTGGTTGCTATGTAACGTCAATAGGGTTCTGAACAGGCACGTAGCCAAATTGGGGGTGGCATGGGGCCCAGGAGGTTAGAAGTACTAGGAGGGGGAACGTTGAAATATTGGTGAAGCCTAGTCATAAAAAGTTTAAACGATGTTGTGGCCAACGTGACCGTAGATCTCTCTGGCAATTGGTGCGCGTGACATGTCACGTGTGAGATGGATGGTTGATTGTAGGACTCCTTGCAGGCCTTGTGCGCGCTCCGTCCGGTAGGTTTTATCAGATCGAAGGCTAGACTGTGGTGTATTCTAGTACCCCCACGGCTAGACGAAGGCTAGCTACGGTCACGTGATGTGGTCACGTTGGCATGGTAAGTGAGGAGAGTAAGAAGGAAAATAAGAAAGAGGCGAGGCGTCAAGGGAGTATGGCTTGTGGAGGCTACGCGGCTGGCGTCATGACCTCTCATACCCTTCTATCCTCCTTGCATGGGGCCCGCGCCCCCCCCCCCCCCCCCGAAATGTTCCATTTTGCTAGGGCCTCCTCTCCCCCCTTCACCTCATACAACATTATGTAATAAGCGCGCCCCCCCCACCCAAAAAAAAAAAAACATTTTGACTACGTGCCTGGTTCTGGACGCTATTATGATTCTATTACTGTTGATGTGCAGTAATTCGTTAAGTAACATAATTGGTTTCAATTGGCGGAAGACAATTCTTCCCAAAAAAGGCGCGTCGAGATCTTTTGAACACGCTTTTCACCAGGAAATAAGCTACGCACGATTGTGATTTCGGGTTTGTTGGAATGCTTAGAGCGTCTAGGATAGAGTTGTCGCCACCACAAAAGGACGATCTCAGAATCAACTTCAGTGTCTCTTTAAAGACGTTAGGTTTGGGATCATAACGTTAACTGGATCAAAAATAAAAGATAAAAAATACCGGTAAATAAACATATGAATCCTAGAGGAAATATAGTTTCCTTTTTTTCTCAGAACCTGCTTGGTAGAAAGAAACCTCACACCTATCTTTTCACCCAGGTAAAGTCACGTCCCTCATAGTTTCGCATTTGATCACTATCGCTAGCACCATATCAGAGTTTCGGATTTCTGCGATAGGTAACTTATATAGTTATCAGGGGCGGCAAATTGATTTTGGCTTTCCAGATTGAACTCTGTCTAGAAAAATACACAGTGCGAACTCGCAGAAAGCAAGTAAAGACAATCGAAAAGGCTTCGACAACCTACCGATAAGGATGTTGATATTTAACTATGACTATCTTTTCTCGTGGTTTTTCGACATCCTACAACCGATAGTTCTTCCATAATTTCTGTCAATAGTTTTTAAGGAGGATTCTGCCGTTCCCCTATTGTTTTCTAGTAGGTTTTATATTGTTCCTCGATGATTATATGGAAGTCCCTATATCGCAGTCGCCTGTTCCCCCGAGCTTCGAGACATTTCCTCGATGGACTCTCGATGTTCTTCGTCACCTAATAAAATACTATCGATAGCTTTACGATATTTGGCTATAGATAGTTTCACGATAGTCGACTAACAATAGTATATATCGATAGTTTTACGACAGTTAATTACGGATAGTACTATCGATAGTTTTTTCACTGTAGATAGACCCGGCTCCCAATATCGATAGTGTCGGTAGTACTATCGATAGTTTTGCACCCTTAGATTGCACACGCAGACCTACACTCAAGAACCTTCAGATCCCTCAGGGTGTAAAATAAGCGAGAGCACGTTTTGCTTCATTAGACTATTCCATTCGAAGCATCAGACCATTGGAGCAGTCTCTCTATTTGTCGTTTCATTGACGGTGCTGGTTGGCGGGAGATACCAACGTGCTTCCCCTCACTGACTATGAGCATTGCGTGGAAAGTAGTCAATGATTGGCGCGGTCCTATCGCCTCCTTTCAGCACGCGCAACGTCACCAAGACGTGAGCACACTGAATAACAAGGGTACTCGCCGTGTTGGGTTTCTCGTGGTTTTCACAGCATTCTGCTATGATGGCAAATGATCGAGCCTGTTCTTGCCAACGCGCCGATCGCAATTGCGGGTCCAGCGTCTTGATGCTGTCTACATCGTTGGTCGATCGTTTCACTCTCAAAACATCGACAGGCATCCGCACTAAATAAAGTGCTCAAATGTGACAAAGTCGGTCGGAAACGGAAGACATTCCCGTGTGGTTACAGGGTCATCACCATAGTCACTGGCAGGATGAAAGCGGCGGGGAGGAGTGTCAGTTGTCCCGCATTCAACGCGAGCTTCCGAGCTTCGGCGTTCCGCGCGGCGCGTGTTGGAGGACAGGCGTTCGATAGAGACGCCCTGCCGTTCTAATCCTGCCACTGACTGTAGGCACGAGCAAATGGAGCTACAAAACTCTAGATGTGGGAGTCAGTTCTCTTCTGTCTTCATGTCTGTAGCGATCATCGCGTCTTTTGTATGACCAGTGCGACTGCTGCTGCAAGAGACAGTAGATGATACCGCGGACCTTCCCCCTGTCATCACCTGCAGCGTTGTACCGCCGCGCACGAAGGACGTACCGACACGGCCCGGCAACGCGTGGTCGCCCATCCTCCCCGCAGTAGAGGACGCCGTTGCGTCAACGAGAGCGGCGCCAAAACTCACGTGTCTGTCTGTTGAGTTTCCTGCGCGCCGCCTCCTCGACGATGGTCGGTTTGCCGCCGCCGCCTCCACGGCGCCGCGCGCCGCTGGCAGCGCCGACCACAAGCACGAGCAACGCGAGCCGCAGCGCACAAGCCGGCAGCATCTCCTCGTCGCCGCCGACACGTGGTTGGTAATCCTCCGGGCGCTCCGCCGCCGACCGAAACGGACCGCGTTCAGGGCAACGCCACTTCTCTTCTCCACGACGCGTTCTGCTCCGACTGCGACACTCAGCGCCGCGCCGAACGCGCGAGCGCTCCCCGCGCGCCCGCCCGCGCGCGCGACGCAGCCCTTTTCGTGACGTCACACGAGGACAGCTGCGACGTCACGCCTTGCAGCGCCTCCCGCGGTTGTGACGTCGCGTGACGTAGCACACTCGACGTCACCGAACGGTATCCGTCGTCCGCTCCGCTCGCGCTCGCCGCAGTCGAAGATTTTCGCGCGCTTTTGCTTCGCGCCTTTTCGCGCCGCCGTAGGAAAACGGCGTGGTTTCGGTTTTCAGTTTTGCTTCTTTGTGCATCTGTGTACTCTTGTTTTCTGCCGCGCGTCGCTGGGGAGCGGTTCCGGTTTTGACGCGTGTGGGCTACGGGAAGAGCGGGAGCATGACGGCGGAGGGATGGAGGAAAGGCTTTGCGGGCAATTTTCTCCTCGAGGCCTTTATGCTGCTGAGTTCGCGTGGAACCGGGTATTTATCACGCTGTGAATGGGATCGGGCTGTCGCGGGGAGGAGACGAGCCGCGCTAGCGACCAGTTATCTGTTATCCCCTGAATTGAATTTGACGCAGACGGAAGGCCTGGGGGGAGGGCTGCCATCAATGTGTCGGCGGTGCTAGAACTCGCCCACACTGCACGACGTCGCCAAAAGCGGTTGCGTCGCCCATCTTATATATTTTTGCTTGCGTCTCTTTCCGCATTCGTGTGTGGATGATTCGTTTGCCTTTATCAGCCTGACCGTCACTTTTGATTGATTCGCGAAAAGTACGGCACCCGTAGGTGTAGAAGTTACGCCAATGAACGGACGAGCGTGAAGCTCAGTGCTTCGAACAAATGTTTTGATGAAATCCGGCTGTGATATAATGAAGTCAGCGTTTATTATTTTTTTTAATGCGTTAAATGCTCTTTAACAAAACCCCCAACACCAAAATTGTGCCCGGCCGTCGATCCGCGCATTTTTCGCTAGCGGGGAAATTGACTTCACGTGACCTTTATACCAAAGTTAGGTCATTGACGTTACGTCACTTATACTCCATCTCACAGACATCTGCAGTGCAGACAAAGGCATGAGGCACGAGCGCGTGGCTTTTGGAAGTGCCTCCTACGCGCGAGTTCTTGTACTAACAAAAGTATTCTGCTGAGCTAGGCCCACGCGCCTGTGCCTTTGGCTTTACTCCAGACATTTGTGAGATGGAGTAGCTATATACGTCAACTCAGTTCGCCCACTAAATTTAGCAGGAAAACTACCTTTTGCGACCTAAACACCAACTCAGTTTCCCCACTAAATTTAGCGGGAAAATTGTCGTGACGACGCTAGGGGACCTCTTCACCGATTCAATTTCGCCGCTAAATTCAGCGGGGAAATTGACGTCACGTGTCATAACCCGAATCCAGTTTTCCCGCTAAATTTAGAGGGAGAAGTCAACGTCAAGTGACCTATACAATTAATTTTCTCCACTAAATCTAGCGGGGAAATATACTCCACGTCACCAGACGACTTTCCCCTCTATCTCTCCCGTTCCTCCAACCCCCCTAGGCTGTCCCCTCCTCCCCATCTGCCTTCCTGACCCTCGCTCTCCCTCCATTTCCCCTACCTCTTTCTCCCCACCCCTCTCCCATTCTCCTACGATGCCCTCCCTCCCTGTACTCAACTTTTTTCGCCCTCCCTTCGCCCTTTCTGGTTACGTGACACCTTAATACACCCCAATTCTATTTGCCTGCTAAATATAGAGGGGAAATTTACGTCTCGTTACATATGAATTTCCTGTCCTCATTTCACTCTCCTGCCTTCCCTCTCCCTCACCCTCCCGATCTCTCCTCTCACCCTCCTTAATTGCCCTCTCCCCCTATCCTTATGCTTCTAATCCCCTCTCTCCCGTTATGAAAAAAAAAGAAAAGATATTTCCTATAGACAACATGGCCGTTAGCTAAGGCTCAAACAAAACGGTATGGAAGTTATCGTTAGCTGTGCCTCCGATGCGCACCGCATGGCAACAAAACGAAAAATAAGAACATGGTTCACTCTGCAAGGCCCTTGGCTCTGTTCAAAACTTTCAAGTCCTGGTTACTCAGCAACCCTAATTGAAGTGGGGAGCTATAACCGGGAAATCAAGCGACCTATACTAACTATCTCATCGTGATTCTTTTTTTTTTTTAAATTTTATAGCACGGGGTGTTTTTTCACCATGGGTCTCAAATTCATTTGAGGGGGGGGGGGGGGGGGGGGGGCGAGATAGCCCACCCTGGAAAGGTCGAGGGTCAAGTTAAGGGAGGAGGAGAGGGGAGGGGATGCCTGGAGGTCTACCCACAATTTTCTTTATTCAGCCAATAAGACCTCTGAGTTTTGACATTATCGCAACCCCTGTGCAAGAAGCAGACGAACTTGTGCCGGGGCAAATATTCAAGAGAGAAAGGACCTCACCATCTATACTTTCTTTAAAGTCACAGTTTTGCCAGTGGCATCTTTAACTTTGATTTGTTTATAGGACTGCTTTCGGCCCTCACCAGATGTAAAAACAAGAAATAAAATGGAGCTACCCCGCCAACGTGCTGACATTTTTAATAAAACAAGAAAGCCAACAGACTCTCGCTCCCGTTGCTCAATTCACTCAGGAATTTACCAAGCTCCATGTCCCTAAAAATACATTAATACGACAGTTTTTTTTTTCCCTGATGATTTGTATAAAAAAAAAATATGGAGAAGCAACAAGAAAATACTACGTATATAATTTTTTTAACGAACTGCCTGAAGATATTAATCAATGCAAAAATCCGCACAAAATAAAAAATATAACTAAAAAATGACTGAATGAGGAGCGAAAAAAAAATAACCAAAAAGGCAATTAATGCTAAAGATAATCAAAATAACCGAAGCGGACCACCCCCTCCGACCGTGTCTATTATTAGAGTTTTTTTTTTTATTGTGATTAATCATAATGTGTTTCACCTCGGATTGTAAATAAACATATAAACTACCCTTGATATTATAAATATTTTTGTTTTTGCTTTGGTTGAAACAAGTAAAACAAAGTTGAACATCTCTACTATTACAATGAAGCTATTGGATATGCCAGAGGCACAAATTTGATTTTAACATCAGTGTGTTTTTACCTGAATATGTACCTGCACGCCCCACGCACAAGCCTTCTTGGCTTATATTGGCACAGATTGAAAGATCTTAAAAACTGGAAACAAAACGTATGTATGTATGTATGTATGTATGTATGTACGCATGTATAACAGTCTGAGATAATACTTTCATTTTAATTTTGATATATTTTAAAGCGAGAATCCCGAACTCGTAGCTTTATATTTGGCAGATGCTCCGGCGGATCGAGAGTTCGCGAAGCCGAGATGCAACCGGCATCGGGGAGCTCACACTTGTAGACTAGTTGCGGAATTGTTGTTCAGGTGATTAACACGACAAAAAGCTGGGAAGCAAGAAATAAAGCGCAACTCAGGGCTAATGAACGCAGATAAGTATAAACGGGGAATACGTTAAAATCACAGAGCTACGTTTCCAGCGAAAATGAATCGGCGAGATGAGATCACTATGGCGCATTCCATTTCTAGCGCTCGAGACATGGAAGCAGGGACTCGCAGCTTTTTGTCTGCGGGACGCCTCCTAGCTAGTCGCGGGCCGCATGCAGCCCGCGGGCCGCGTGTTTGGGTTGGGACCCCTGGTTTATAAAATGGCACATTCGCTGAGGCTAGAGCTCTACCACCTTCCGCTCTGAGAGCTCAAGATACATTTTGACTTCACCTTCGAAATGTAGCTCGTAATAGATACCACCCTTAAAAATATCTTCGAATCAAAAACTTCCTCTGGTTTTGGCGAAATTAATCTTGGATCTAAAGGACCATCTCCCTAACTCATTTCAGGCAGCTCAGAACCTGACACATCCACCGTGGATGTATCATCCCTTCATTATAAATTACACCCAATATTACAGGAATTGGAAAGAAAGCGGCGATACCAGTAAGTGTGATGATAGAGAAAGCTTTACAGTACATATATCGAACATATTCACCTCAACTGATGTGTTTACGGACGGCTCTACGACTTCGAAGTCATTCTCTTTCTGAGTGCATCTTTCATCGATCAAAGCTACTAGAAAGGCAAAACTAAGTCACGTAACATCCTTCACGGCGGTAGAGCTTGCCGGGATAAGGGCAGTTATGAAATATATTAGTCGCCAAACTCTCAACATCTGAGTGATTTTCGTTGACTCAAAATGTGCACTCCTAACTCAGTCGTCAATGGATAAACAAAGCCCCAATATTCAACCCATTCAAGCCATCCTGCAGATTCCTCAAAACGCATCAGATCAAGGACATGATGTAGTCCTACAATGTATCCCGGGACATAGGGTGATAGCTGGGGATGTTATTGCAGACAAAGCCACCAGAGATACTCACGAGGAAAATGTAACTGACCCCATACCATTTTCGAGAACCGATCGGAAATAAACTTACATCGTTCGTATGGAGACATCCCTATTATCACTACAAATACCTAAAACATATCGATCTAAAATTACAATTTCCTATGTTACGAGGACTTTAAGAGCTAACGAAACAATAATTCATCGACTATGACTCAGCGAAGCGCACAGGACACAGACACAAAAAAAAAAAACACACCTCCAATTAATTGGCCGAGAAGATTCACCTATATGCTCTTCGAGCTCGTCACTCCAAGACAGCAACCACGTGTTATCCAAATGCGCTACATTCAACTCTCAAAGGGAAGGATGGCATAGCTGGGCCTAAAAAAACAAGTGTAGGTATTCAACTGCGCAGCCTTCTTGGGTCTTGGTCAACTCCTGAGGATGGACATAAGGCTACAAAAGAACTGATTAATTATCTTGCTAGTATGCATTCATTCAAAATACTTTAAACTTTAGTGTAAGTATAGTGTGTACATGTGTTCTTATTACTACTTCTTTTTTACTTTTTTACTTTTCTTCTTTTTTTTTTCTTTTTTTTGTTTACTAGTCGCCAAACTCACTCCCTCTTTTCATTTTTTCGCGAAGTACTAAATCAGCTTTGAAAGCAGGTTGACCTCTTCGTGTGTAAATAAACAACTTCTTTTTCTTGAT